GCCCCCCGCTGGCCCCTCCCCAAGGCGTCCACAACAAAAGCCTGGTCTGCTGCGGGGAGGGGAGGGCGCACTAGCTGCCCCCCCCCCCAGCAGACCAGGGAGACGTGGGTGGCGGGACTGCCCGCATCCTCCACAGCTTTGCTCCGTCTCCCTGGTCTGCTGACCAGGGAGATGTGGAGCAGCTTTTCTCGCCCCGGAGGACAGGGGCGGCGGGACTGCAGTGCATCTGGGCGTCCTGCCGCTCCCGTCCTCCGGGGCGAGAAAACCCCCGTTCGTAACTGCGGATCCGACATAAGTCGGATCCGCGTAACTCGGGGACTGCCTGTACTCCAGCTGAGGCCTAATCAGTGCAGAGTAGAATGGAAGAATGACTTCTTGAGTCTTGCTCACAACACACCTGTTAATGTATCCCAGAATCATGTTTGCTTTTTTTGCAACTGTGTCACACTGTTGACTCATATTTAGCTTGTGGTCCACTATGACCCCTAGATCCCTTTCTGCAGTACTTCTTCCTAGAGAGTTGCTTCCCATTCTGTATGTGTGAAACGGATTGTTCCTTCCTAAGTGGAGTACTTTGCATTTGTCCTTATTAAACTTCATCTTATTTACCTCAGACCATTTTCTCCAGTTTGTCCAGATTATTTTGAATTATGACCTTATCTTCCAAAACAGTTTGCAACCCCTCCCCACTTGGTATGATATGTAAACTTAATAAGCGTACTCTCTATGACATCATCTGCTAGGGAAAATGGAAAGGAGACTTAAGTTCTGTCAAGTGAAGAAGGAAACCTGAGCTAGCCAAAAAGAAATCTGAAGAACAATTAGCAAAAGACACAAAAAATTAATGCCAAAAAATGTCTAAGTACATCAAAAGCAGGAAGCCTGCCAAGCCTTCAGCGGGGCTACTGAACGCTCAAGGTGCTAAAGCATCACTAACAACAGACAGGACTGTTGCAGAGAAGAAATTAATTCTTTACATCGGTCTTCACTGCAGAGAACACAAATAAGAATCCCACTCCTCCCCAAGCCATTGTTTTTAGGTGACAAATCTGAGGAACTGTCCCAGATTGACATGTCAGTAGAGAACATTTGGGATCAAATTGATAAACTGACCAGCAATAAATCATCGTACCACACGGTAGTCGACCTAAACAGCTGAATGTCTAACGGTGGTATGTAACATAGCATTTATATCAACCTCTGTACCAGATGATTAGGGGGTAGCTAATGTAATGCCGAGTTTTTAAAAAGCCTCCAGAGGCCATCCTAGCAATTTCAGGCCAGTAACCCTTAACTTCAGAGCCAGGCCAATCGGTTGAAACGACAGTAAAGAACAGCATGATCAGAGACATAGATGTACACGGTATGTTGGGGAAGAGTCAATACTGCTTTTGTAAAGTAAATCATGCCTCATGAGACTATTAGAACTCTTTGAGGGTGTCATAAGTCTGTGGAAGAGAATGATTGGCAAGGTCCCTCACCAAAGGCTCTTAATGTAAGCAATTATGGGAGTAGAAGGAAGGTTCTCTCATGGATCTGTATCTGATTAAAAGACAGGAAATGGGATAGGAATAAATGGCTAATTTTCACAGTGCAGAAAAATAAATAGTAGGGTAACCCAAGAATCTGTACTAGGACCAGTGCTGATCAATACAGTCATAAATGATCTGGAAACAAGGATCAACAGTGAGATGCCAAGATTTGCAGACAATACTAGTTCAAAGTAAACTGTGAAGAGTTACAAAAGGATTTGACAAAACTGGGTGATGACTGGGCAACAAAACAGCAGATGAAATGTAATGTTGAATAATGCCAAGTAATTCACATTGGAAAACATAATCCCAACTATGGATACAAAATGATAAGGTCTAAATTAGCTGTTAATACTAAAGAAAGATCTTGGAGTCGTCTTGGGTAGTTCCCTAAAAACATCCACTCAGTAAGCAGTGTCAAGTATCAGAGGGGTAGCCGTGTTAGTCTGAATCTGCAAAAGCGACGAGGAGTCCTGTGGCACCTTATAGACTAACTGAAGTGTAGGAGCATAAGCTTTCGTGGGCAAAGACCCACTTCGTCAGATGCATGTGACGAAATGGGTCTTTGCCCACGAAAGCTTATGCTCCTACACTTCAGTTAGTCTATAAGGTGCCACAGGACTCCTCAACCTTTCTGGTGTTAATGATTAAGAGTTTGAGCCACTCGACAGATGGAAAAGGCAGTGGCGGTCCAAAAAAACTAACAATTTTGGGAATCACTTGGAAAGAGATTAATAAGACAGAAATGCGATTTACAGGCCTGGCCATTCCATCTAAACAAAGACATACAGGTTTAAATTCCATAATCCGGAGTTCCCTAGTCCAGCAACACCCCTAGTCCAGCGTCATCGGGTGACCCCCATGAGAGCACTCATGGGGATAAGCAGTCAGGCTGGGTCCAGGAGGGTTGCTAAACTAGGGGGCCAAGAGGGAGCCCCAGCGATAGCAGAGCCACCAGGAGGAACGCAGAGTCTCCAGTCCCTGGGAGGAGTTGTGGGAGGGGAGGGGTATAGCTCCCACTCATGGTGGAGGACAGCAACACAGCTGGGCCATAGCAACATGCTGGAGGCGCTGAAACACTGAGAGGAGCACAGAGCCCTTCTCTTGATAGCAGAGCTGCTTGGTGGAGTGCAGAGCCATTGGGCAGCAGCAGGGCTGTTGGGGTGAGTGTGGAACTGCCGGGCTGTAGCGGAGCCCCCAGGAGGTGGCAGAGCCACTCGGGACAAAGAGGAGCCCCCCGTCACTAACAGGAGCACAGAGCCCCAGTGGCAGCGAAGCCACCGGGGACAGAGTGGAGCTGCAGATGGCAGTGGAGTCCCCAGCTACTGTGGCGAGAGCAGAGACCCGAGAGGCAGCTATGCCGCGGGGGGATGGTAGATCCCCGTTTCCATAGTGGGGAAAGCAGAGTCCTGGGTAAAAGTGGAGATGCCCAGGGAAAAGCAGAACCCCTGGAGGTGAGGGGCAAGGAAAAGAAGACCCCCCCACACTGCATTGATCTCCCCTGGTTCAGCAAATTCATTGGTTCAGGACCTGTCAGGTCCCGAGGGTGCCAGACCAGGTAGGTACAACCTGTATTAGAATAGGAAAAGTACAGCGAAGGCAACAAAAATTGAAAAAGATTGGAATCACTCAGCTTGAAAAAGGTACAAGTGCAGGAGATATGCTACAGAGCTGTAAAATTATGAACGATACAGAGAAAGTGTTATTTACTCCTTCACGTAACCCACAAACAAGGGGTCACCTGATTAAATTAATAAACAGGAGATTTAAAACAAATATAAGGAAGTAATTCTTCAAATAATGCACAATCAGCTATGGAACTAATTGCTAAAGGATATTGTGAAGGCCAAATGCATAAATGGGTTCAAAAAAGATTAGATAATGGAAGATGGCCATTAATAGCTAATTTGGTTCAGAGGGGTGAAATTCCACGCTTTAGGTGTCCCTAAACCTCTGTCTTCTAGAAGCTGGGACTGGACTGCAGAAGTAGGTAGATCATTCTATAAATTGTCCCGTTCAGCATCTCTCTGAAGCACCTGGCACTGGCTGCTGTCAGAAGACAGGATGCGGGGCTAGATGAACCAATGGTCTGATCCAATATGGCTGTTCTTATGTTCATTAGAACAGTGTTTCTCAACCAGTGGTACAAACTCAAGAGAAGTCTGTGGGGTACATCAGCACAATTGAAATTTGGAGAAAACTGAATTTTTGTTTTAAGTTTTACAGAGTTTTATTATTTTTGTACTTTTTACCCAAAAATTTCATCGCCCGCCCAGCTATGATTAAGTTGTTTAAACAAATGTGTTGCAATGGTAGAAAAAAAATGTGTGTGTCTGAAAACTGTAGGTACTGGAGGTACTTGTAATTTTTTAAAAGGGTACTTTATAAAAAAAAGGCTGAGAAACACTGCATTTGAACATATTGAACCATAAATGAAATTCTTATAGTAGTTGACAGTTTAGTCAAATATTAAATAGTGAGGTCTATACTGCCAAATTATCAGTTCAGTTCAGGTTTCCTAGTTGAATGTCTTCCAATAGCCACTGTTGCAGAATTATTCAGTGTCACATCTTTACTTTCTAATATTTGGTTTTGTCCCCTTTTATCTTTAACCTCTTCCTAAAGATGTTTTAATAAAACAACATCTGAACAACAGAATGAAACAGCACAACCTCACGGTCTCACTAGAGGAGTATGGTACACAAACATATTGGGATCAACAAGGAAGATTAGTACAGCTTACCACCTGCTTTGTCCTTGAAACCGAAAAGCACCCCAGCCCCATATGCACAGAGTGCAGATTCCTTTCCCAGCATGCCATGCAGTCTCTCAAGTGAAATAAATGGATAATCTTAGGAGGGATCTTTAGCTTTAATTTCCATAGCTCACACTTACTTCTAAGCAAACCAACAGGAGCTACATGCACTCGTTTTTTATGAATGCTAGGTGTGGCACTCTGACTCCTGGCAAGTCGCCATTATAAGGCTCAGTTGGGCAAAATCTGGGCATCTTTCCAAAGAGGTGAAAAACAGCTGAAAAAACTGCATTGTACATTAACAGAAAACTTCACAGACATTTTGGATTGCATTCTTGCAGCTGTTTGCAGAAACAGCTGCAAATACAAAGTATAAGGGCTTTACCATACAACTGTCTAAATAAATAAAAACTGAAAACACATCAAAGAAAAAGCATTCTGGTTTATGGACATTCAACAATCATGGTCTGTAATAATTTAGAATAAGAACACATGTTTTTTTTCATCTTCCAGTTTCTGAAGAATCTATTTTCCTAATTTGAGTTCCTAAATTCAGGATCCTAAGTTCATATACAGAGACCTGAATATTAGTTTTATGAACAATGGGACTTCTGATGCTAATAGAGATTTAGGCAATTAAATCAACATATAAATGTTAATAAAAATAATAATTTAGAGTACTAAAGCAATGATGAGGGTACCTAACTTTATAAACGCACATATGAAAAATGGATTGTAAAAAAGATAAAATATAAACTTAAATCCAAAGCCAATAAATAATTTATAGACTGGTGATTACAAAATCGGCTTTCAGGCGATTCCCACTCACATTCATACATAAAAGACAAAGTATGAGTTTACATTTTATGTGACACCGAAAAATATCTCCACCCTTGAAGAGATAATGGCACAATACAGCCACAGGCTTTCAGCTGAGATTCTCAAACTTCCCTAATCCGTTCACTAACAATTCAGGAACCATCCTTTCCACCAGCCTAAGGTGACCACCTTTGAACTGGTCAGAAAGGACAAGAGTAGAGGGACCAACAAAATTCAGCTGGTGTTGACCAGGGCACAGCCAGGCTCTACCAGAGTTTTGGGCTAAGAGGAAACAGCCCCAAATAGAGAAGCTTTGTGAACTTGAAAGACTGCTGCTCCAGCTGCTCCCGAAGAGGTTAAACGTGCCAAGCAGACTGAGGGTAGGTTGGGGGGGGGATCACAAAGCTCTCCAGCTCTTGGCTTTAGCTTTTTCCCCATTCTCTCTTAATTACACTTTGGGGCACCTTCAATATCCTCTTGCTATTTCTAGCTGCTTGGGCCCCTGCCAAGTGAGTGGCTGACAGAACAGGAGAAACTTAAAAAACAGCAAATAGTCTGGTAGCACTTTAAAAACTAACAAACCATGCAGATGGTATCGTGAGCTTTCCTAGGCACAGCCCACTTCTCCAGAGACGAGGGAGAAATCAGCCCAGGCCAGGGTGTGGGGAGCTGCTGCTGAGCAGGCTCTGGGGAGAGTTTAATCTCCACCCCTCTGCCCGCGGCCGGGCTCCCCGCTCCGTCTCTTCTGCCAGGAGCCGGGAGAGAGGGATTTGCCTCCCCAGAGTAGCCGCCCGTGGGAAGCGCACAGCGCGGGGCTGCACTTACCTGCTACCGGGGAGGGTTTGCGCAGCACCAGCCACCTATTCTTCCACTGCAGAGAAACAAAGAGACACCCACGTTA